AGAGAGATCTCTAGGCCCCACCTGGAGGTTGGCAACCTGATGCCTTATACAGAATCAGCCCATTGGTATTGTCTGTTCAGATGGGCAGAGGTTCTCCAGGGTCTTTCACATCACTTCCTTTTAATTGGAGATGCCAGAGATTGAAAATGGGGCCTTCTGAATGCAAAGCAGAAGCTTTTCCACTGAGGTATTTCTCATGAAGAATTCTAACACTGGGAAAGAAAACTATTCCAGATTCCTGTTCCCAGCCCTCTGATTGGAATCATGGTCCACCACAATCAAGTCATTGATGGCACATTGTTTCAAATGTTCTTTTTGGGATGGTCTAGCTCTAGCTGGTCAAGAATTAGGGCAGTTTGTAATTTTTTAAGCTCTTTGACCCTAATACCCTTTGGTGTGCAAGAAAGAGTCTGTGTTTTCAAAACATTTTTGCAATGTTTAGACTTGTAGCTCAGCAAAAAAAAATTCTCATCAAGCTTCACTTTGAGAAGGAGCATCAGATAGCTGTTCTCAGTGATGCAGGTAAAGTTATGCAGCTGAAGGTGTCTGTCATTGCTAGGGTTGTCAGCACTGGATTGGGTAATTCTTGGAGATTTGGGGGTGGTGCCTTTGGAGGGGTGGGTTTGAGGAGGAGATGGAGCTCAGCATGACATAATGCCATATGGTCCACCCTCAAAAACAGCCATTTTCTCCAGGGGAACTGACCTATGAAGCCCAGAGATCAGTCATAATTCCAGAAGACCTCTAAGCTCCAACTTGAGGTTGGTAATGCTAGCATTGTTCAAAACAAAAAAATCTTAAAGCCTAAAAGAGGATAGGAAATACCTTAAAGTCTTTTCAGTGCCTACTTTTTCTGGGTCTAGGGACATACCTGAGGTCCCTTCACTGGCTGCCTATTTCTGGGTCCAGTTTAAGTTGCTGGTAACCTACAGCCTTGTCGTGGCGAGGGGGCTTGCGCAGTTCAATGAAGCTGTGGGCTATGCCGTGAAGGGCCACCCAAGACGGACAGGCCACAGCAGAGAACTCAGACCAAGCGTGATCCACCTGGAGAAGGAAATGGCAACCCACTCCAGTATTTTTGCCAAGAAAACCCCATGGACAGTATCAAAAGGCTAAAAGATATGACGCCGGAAGATGAGCCCCTCAGGTCGGAAGGTGTCCAATATGCTACTGAGGAAGAGCAGAGGACAAGTACAAGTAACCCCAGAAAGAGTGAAGCGGCTGGGCCAAAGCCGAAAGGACGCTCAGTTGTGGATGTGTCTGATGGTGAAAGGAAAGTCCAATGCTGCAAAGAACAATACTACATAGGAACCTGGAATGTAAGATCTATGAATCAAGGTAAGCTTGACGTGGTCAAAAATGAGATGGCAAGACTGAACATCGATATCCTAGGAATCAGTGAACTAAAGTGGACAGGAATGGGCGAATTTAACTCAGAAGACCATTATATCTACTACTGTGGCCAGGAATCTCGTAGAAAAAATGGTGTGGCCTTTATAGTCAACAAGAGAGTGCAAAAGGCAGTACTGGGATACAATCTCAAAAATGACAGAATGATTTCTGTCCGATTCCAAGGCAAACCATTCAACATCACAGTAATCCAAGTCTATGCCCCAACCACTGATGCAGAAGAGGCTGAAGTGGACCGGTTCTATGAAGACCTACAACACCTCCTAGAACTAACACCAAAAAATGATGTCCTCATCATCATAGGGGACTGGAATGCTAAAGTAGGAAGTCAAAAGGTAACTGGAATAACAGACAAGTTTGGCCTTGGAAAGCAAAATGAAGCAGGGCAAAGGTTAACAGAGTTTTGTCAAGAGAACACACTGGTCATAGCGAACACCCTTTTCCAACAACCTAAGAGGCGACTCTACACATGGACATCACCAGATGGGCAACACCGAAATCAGATTGACTATATAATTTGCAGTCAAAGATGGAGAAGCTCTATCCAGTCAGTAAAAACAAGACCTGGAGCTGACTGTGGTTCAGATCATGAGCTACTCATTGCAAAATTCAGACTTAAACTGAAGAAAATTGGGAAAACCACGAGGCCATTCAGGTTTGACCTAGATCGCATCCCTGATGAATATACAGTAGAGGTGAAGAATAGATTCAAGGGTCTGGATTTGATAGATAGAGTGCCTGAAGAACTATGGACAGAGGTTCGTGACATCGTACAGGAGGCAGCAATCACCACCATCCCAAAGAAAAAGAAATGTAAGAAAGCAAAGTGGCTTTCTGATGAGGCTTTACAAATAGCAGAGGAAAGAAGGAAAGCGAAAGGCAAAGGCGAAAAGGAAAGATTTACCCAACTGAACGCAGATTTCCAGAGAACAGCAAGGAGAGATAAGGAGGCCTTCCTGAATGAACAGTGCAAAGTAATAGAAGAAAACAATAGAATGGGAAGGACTAGAGATCTCTTCAAGAAAGTTGGAGAAATCAAGGGAGCGTTCCATGCAAAGCTGGCCATGATAAAGGACAAAAACGGTAGGGACCTAACAGAAGCAGAAGAGATTAGGAAAAGATGGCAAGAATACACAGAAGAACTATACAAGAAAGACCTCGATGTCCTTGACAACCACGACGGTATAATCACTGACCTCGAGCCAGACATCCTGGAATGTGAAGTTAAATGGGCCTTAGAAAGCATTGCTAACAACAAAGCTAGTGGAGGTGATGGTATTCCAGCTGAGCTATTCAAAGTCTTAGAAGATGATGCTGTTAAAGTGCTGCACTCCATTTGCCAGCAAATTTGGAAAACGCAACAGTGGCCACAGGATTGGAAAAGATCAGTATACATTCCAATCCCAAAGAAGGGCAATGCCAAGGAATGTTCAAACTATCGCACAATTGCACTCATATCACACGCTAGCAAGGTCATGCTCAAGATCCTACAAGCTAGGCTTCAACAGTACGTGGATAGAGAACTACCAGAAGTACAAGCTGGGTTTCGAAGAGGTAGAGGAACTAGAGATCAAATTGCCAACATTCGCTGGATTATGGAGAAAGCAAGAGAGTACCAGAAAAATATCTACTTCTGCTTCATTGACTATGCTAAAGCTTTTGACTGTGTGGATCACAACAAACTATGGCAGGTCCTTAAAGAGATGGGAGTACCAGACCACCTCACATGTCTCTTGAGAAACCTGTATAAGGGCCAAGAAGCGACAGTTAGAACCGGATATGGAACAACTGATTGGTTCAGCATAGGAAAAGGAGTACGACAAGGATGTATATTGTCGCCTTGCTTATTTAATATATATGCAGAGTACATCATGCGAAATGCTGGCCTGGATGAATCACAAGCGGGAATTAAGATTGCTGGGGAAAAGATCAACAACCTCAGATATGCAGATGATACCACTCTAATGGCTGAAAGTGAAAAGGATCTAAAGAGCCTCTTGCTCAGAGTAAAAGAGGAGAGCGCAAAAGTGGGCTTGAAGCTCAACATCAAAAAAACTAAGATCATGGCATCCGGCCCCATCACTCCTTGGCAAATAGAAGGGGAAGTCATGGAAGTAGTGACAGACTTCACGTTCCTGGGATCCCAGATCACCGCAGACTGTGACTGCAGCCATGAAATTAAAAGACGCCTGCTCCTTGGGAGGAAAGCGATGGCGAACCTAAACAGCATGATGAAAAGTAGAGACATCACCCTGCCAACAAAAGTCCGCATGGTCAAAGCAATGGTATTCCCAGTAGTCATGTATGGCTGTGAGAGTTGGACTATAAGGAAGGCCGAGCGCCGAAGAATAGATTCTTTTGAACTATGGTGCTGGAGAAGACTCTTGAGAGTCCCTTGGACTGCAAGAAGAACAAATCAGTCAATCCTCAAAGAAATCAACCCTGACTGTTCCCTGGAAGGCCAGATAATGAAACTGAAGCTCAAATACTTTGGCCACCAAATGAGAAGGGAGCACTCACTGGAAAAGACCCTGATGCTGGGAAAGATTGAAGGTCAAAGAAGACGGGGACGGCAAAGGATGAGATGGTTAGACAGTGTCAGCGATGCAACGAACATGAAATTGAGCCAACTTCGGAGGACGGCGGAAGACAGGAGAGCCTGGCGGGAGATTGTCCATGGGGTCGCGAAGAGTCGGACTCGACTGTGCGACTGAACAACAACAAAGCCGTGTGTCAGGCACAGGTAATATTTGGATGAGAGACCACCAAAGAAGACTGAGGTTGCTGTGCAAAGCAAGGCAATGGCAAACCAGCTTTACTAATCTCTTGCCTTGAAAAACGCAGAGTCCTGGGGTCACCGTACTTTGGTATTTATATTTATTTATTTGTATTTATTTGTAAGTGGAAAATGGCCCTGTTCCCTATATTTTTCTGTTAGGTTGCTTAAGAATGTTCCATGGAGAGATGCCAGGAACATTAGCAGCCTTTTTATTCTATGATATTAAATTTTAAAGCTTAGCTGTGTTTTCAACTGCACTTCCATGGCATTTTATTTCAGACTAACATTCATTTGAAAACCTTTGTTGCAGGCATATTGGCGGTCTTGTGCAATGATCTTGGGATGTGTGCTGGAACAGGCCTTCAAAGATGAATACTTGGTAACTCTTGTCAGAGCACCAGAAGTGCCAGGTATATAAATGCTTTTTGCACACTTCTGTTGCTCTTGATAAGCTGCATATTGCATTACATGAGCAAATTATGTTGGTTATCATCACATCTTCTAGTTAGGAATTGGGTAAGTTGCTTAATTATAAGCTGACTGGAAAAGTATTTCCTTTTATCTCTTTTGACCCTACCATGAGGAAATTCTGGGGAAATGTGCCGGGAAGGAGTTCCAGAATCTCTTTGGCAAAATTCTTTTTAAAATGTTTAGAAGTTCATGAGTTTTTAGTATACAGTTTGAAAAGTTAATTTCCGTCTTGAAAATTCTGGCTCCTCTTTTTCGGGGGCGGGGGCGGGGGGAGACCTGCCTACCACCAGTGCATATTTTGTAACCTCAAGTTCTAGTATTTTTGTGTGGAAAGACTACAACAGTGACTTCTTTTTCCAGTTGGATCCAAAAGTGATATACAGCCAGTGTCCGTTGATAGTTATTTCTTCCATGGAATTTAAGTGGTGTACATGGAGTTTCCAGGCTGTTCCCCACCCAGGAACTGGTCAGCTCTAATCCTCATTAGCACTGTTTCTCATTTTATGTTCTGAAATTATTTTTCACCATTGTAAACTGGACTCTTTCTCCAATTGCAATAGTTCTTAATAAGTTAAATAAAAATATTTGTAAGTGATTTGCTAAGCATAGCAGGTACTTGTGGGAGCTATCTTACATTCCATATGTCAAAGCTTTTTTTCCTTTGCAAAATCAGAAATATGTTAAGGGCAGGCAGGCTGATTTTTTAAATGCTTAATTTATGTGGTTAGCTCTCTAATCCATTGAGCTGTGCTTAAAGCACAATGTGATACAATTTCTGCTTATGCAAGTATTATTAGGTAGTCTAATATGTATTTACTTCTTGATATTTTGAATTTTTTAAATAATTGGTAATTAAGCCTCACCATTTTTAAAATCTGTTACATTTAAACCTACTAACTGGGTTTCAGAATTCAGGTGGCTAGTCATATTAGTCTGAGCGGCAGAACAAAGTTTGGGTCCAGTGGCACCTTTAAGACCAACAACGTTTTATTCAAAGTGTAAACTTTTGTGTGCAAAGCACACTTCTTCAGACAGATGAAATAAAATCTCAACGGTTACTTACAGGAAAAAAGACGGTAGTTAGGAGGGGCCACTCAGAGCCAAGATG